AAGCAGAAGTATCGCCTCCTCGGAAGGTGATTTGGCTGTGATGAGACGATGATGCTGAGTAGGTGAGCAATGGTGAGGTGGGTGTCATGGTGAGTGCAAGGGCAGGTAATTAGTGTGAGGGCAGGGTGCAGAGGAGGCGGGCTGTGTTGGGGCAGGAGTGTGCAATGAGGGTGTTGTGGGGTAGGGGGAGTGGGAGTGAGGCTAGGGGACTATTGGCGGGATGTGTGATGTGGAAGAGAGAAAGGGGCAGTAATGGGAGTTGATAGTGGCTGTGAATGTGTTCAGTGCCGCTGGCCAGTGTGAGAGTGAGGGTAGGTGTGCTAGTCGCATAGTGGGTGTGCGGCGCTGGATTTAGCCTAGTAATGTAGGTCGGATGGAGTGGAGGTGTAGGATGTAGATGGGAAGTGTTAGTGACCAGCGGTAGGAGGGTGGTGGATTGTGAGGTGGCGGGGAGATTGTTGGCGGCAGCGGCGCTGAGTGTAGGCAGCAGAGGCGGCGGAGAGACTTAGAGAGCGGAGATGTGTCAGGTGGTGGGAGGGAGGATGGAGTTGCTAGATTTGGTTAGATGAGAGGGATGCCTGAGGGCTCCCCACTGGCAAAAACTACACACCCAAGCGAACCCGATTAGAGTCCGTCGCAGGCTTCAACACGCCGGAGTGCAATGGCGAGCCTCCACCTGGGGTCAGAGCATCGCTGATCACCCTGAACCCGATGCAAGGTAAGTTTAATGCGCTGGCCATGCCCAACTGCCACACCTACCATTCTTCCTGCCCCCATTCACATCCACAAACTCCTACCTCCTCCTTCAGGGCTCACTCCCAACTCTTATCCACCTCTTCACTATCATCCCTTTCAGCGTCTTTCTCTCACTGCCTTGCCTCGCATTACCATCTCTCCTCTCCCAACTACTACTACACACCTCCGGATCCCTACTCACTAGCCCTCAGTAGGCTCATTCACCATGCTTCATAGTGTAGTCCTGGTAATCTTGAGATGCACAATGGCACAGATGGTCATGCCTCCTACAGCCTGCGGCGACGGCTCTGACCGCGGCAGAGGCACTTTCAGGCACAACCCAGCCCTGCCTCCACTGCATCACAGTAAGCACCACATTGGCAGCATTGAAGTCAGGTTAGGCCCTCTTCCCAAAGTCATGCTGTTGCAGTGGCAGCACGAGGTGTGAATGCCCTCGGTCGCAGAGCGTCAACTGTCCGTCTGCCTATTCACTCCATGTCTACTCACATTCACTGATCGGATAGTTGTGTCACAGGAGAAGACATGCCAGAAGGCTAGACTTGGCGTCAGTCTTCACTTCATTCTCTCACCCCCTCGGTCTCTCAACGCATGCATGCAAGGGTACATGCAGAATGCTGAGGTCTTGGGAGAGTGGACGCGCGATCCACATGCATTCTGCAGGACACACCGTTAAAGCAGAAGTGTCGCCTCCTCGGAAGGTGATTTGGCTGTGATGAGACGATGATGCTGAGTATGTGAGCAATGGTGAGGTGGGAGTCATGGTGAGTGCAAGGGCAGGTAATTAGTGTGAGGGCAGGGTGCAGAGGAGGCGGGCTGTGTTGGAGCAGGAGCGTGCAATGACGGTGTAGTGGGGTGGGGCGGGGACTGCTGTGGTGCTGATGGTAGGGGTCTATTGGCGGGATGTGTGATGTGGAGGAGAGAAAGGGGCAGTAATGCGAGTTGATTGAGGCTGTGAATGTGTGCAGTGCTGCTGGCCAGTGTGAGGGTGTGAGGGCTAGACGCATAGTGGGTGTGCGGCGCTGGATTTAGCCTAGTAATGTAGGTTGGATGGAGTGGAGGTGTAGGATGTAGATGGGAATTGTTAGTGACCAGCGGTAGGAGGGTTGTGGATTGTGAGGTGGCGGGGAGATTGTTGGAGGCAGCGGCGCTGAGTGTAGGCAGCAGAGGCGGCGGAGAGACTTAGAGAGCGGAGATGTGTCAGGTGGTGGGAGGGAGGATGGAGTTGCTAGATTTGGTTAGATGAGAGGGATGCCTGAGGGCTCCCCACTGGCAAAAACTACACACCCGAGCGAACCCGATTAGAGTCCGTCGCAGGCTTCAACACGCCGGAGTGCAATGGCGAGCCTCCACCTGGGGTCAGAGCATCGCTGATCACCCTGAACCCGATGCAAGGTAAGTTTAATGCGCTGGTCATGCCCAACTGCCACACCTACCATTCTTCCTGCCCCCATTCACATCCACAAACTCCTACCTCCTCCTTCAGGGCTCACTCCCAACTCTTATCCACCTCTTCACTATCATCCCTTTCAGCGTCTTTCTCTCACTGCCTTGCCTCGCATTACCATCTCTCCTCTCCCAACTACTACTACAACCTGTTAGTTACGAGTACGAGCCATGCACTGGATGCTCATTTATTCTGCTGTAAGTCCAAAAACTCGAAAAAGAGTTGACTGCTTTCAGGGAACTCCTGCAAGCGAACGATAGTGTGCAAAACGCGGTGAATAGCGCTAAAGTTAGCAAGAAAATGGGAAAGAGCAAAACTCTAAAACAGCCAAAGAACAAAGCATGTGAAAAACCTCTCTGCATGAGCGCCGATACCCAGGACGATGGGAAAATAGCAACGGAGTCTCTTGGTTCTATGCGAGACAACCCAAGCGAGCCATCAACTTCTCTCAGCCATTCCGCGTGTTCAATAGGAACCTCAGTTGGAAGTGAGGAAACAAGCTCATGGCAAGATGGAAAGGGTAAGCGCCACAACGGGAGTATAGAACCCCAGACGACTCCGGTGGATCTTCTGAGACCTTCAGCTGACAAGGCCACCGGAAACAGAAAAAATGAACCCCTTGATCGTCAGCACTGCGTAGTCGTCCAGGGTCTATCGGAGTCGGATGCTCCTACCCCGAAGGAGAGGATCTCCGCTGACCTTAATATGCTTCAACACCTACTGAACAAAATGCTTAATTCAAATGAAAAGATAACCATTCGCGCAGCCTTCAGGATCGGAAAGAAGGTGAGCGAACAATCAGAAACTGTGCGGCCACGACCTCTGAAAATTGTTTTGAACAGTAAAGAGGAAGCTAGCTTACTTCTGTCCAGGAAAAGCAGCCTCCGAAACTTTCACAAGGAAGTTTTTTTTTCAGCCGGACTATTCTCCAGCGGAACGTCTGAAACGACGCGAATTGGTAACGGAGCTGAAGAGGAGACTTGCAGCTGGAGAGAGCAACTTGGCCATTTTCAGGGGACGAGTAATACAGAGGAACGCGATGTTGTTTTGGAACCAGCCAATCATCATGATGGCGGCAGCAACATAATATTGGCAAACCCGAGACAAACCGAACGAAGCACTGTCGAATGTTGCAAACTAAAATTCTTTTACACCAATGCTCAGAGTCTGTTTTCCAAGCTTGACGAACTGAGAATACAGGTAGCCGATACTCTTCCCGATGTTATAGCAATAACAGAAACGTGGCTGTCAGAGGACGTTGGCGATTGCGAGGTAGCATTAACAGGATACCATCTGTTTAGGAGAGACAGGAGAGGCCGCCGGGGTGGAGGAGTTGCCATGTATGTCAAGAGCAACGTAGCAGTGTGTGAGAGGACCGACAAGATTTCTAACGACACAGAGGCAATTTGGTTGACTATAAAGGCGCGGGGATCTCAGTCCCTCGAAATCGTAACTATCTACCGCTCCCCGCAGGCGGATCCCGACCCAGATACTTGTCTACTGAAAAGCATAAAAGAGATCGCCAGCCGACCAGACGTTGTTATCATGGGGGATTTTAATGCACCATGCATTCAATGGAGCGATATGCATGCGAAGTGCTCGATGAATACCTTCGATTACCATCTACTAAAGACAACCCTAGAAGCTCTACTCACGCAACATGTCCTGTTTCCAACTAGAGCTCGTGGAGGACAACAGGCCAGTTGTCTGGACCTCGTTTTTACCAAAGATCCTGACAGTATAGACGAGGTGTACTACCTACCCCCGCTCGGTCGAAGTGATCATGCAGTGCTTTTATGCGAGTACTTGCTGTATTCTGAACCGTGTACAAACGACAATACGTGGCCAAATATATGGAAAGGGGACTATCGCCAAATGAGAGCTGAGGCATCACAAATAGACTGGGATGTTCTCTTCTCCGGAAACGTTAACGAGGACTGGAATTTATTCAAGGATCGTTTACTGCATCTAATGAAGAACCACTGTCCCTTATCAAAGCCTAGGACATCCAACAGCCCTCAGTGGCTTACACGAGAACTCAAAAGGGAGATCAACAAGAAAGCTAGGTTATGGAAAAAATTTCGCAAGAACAACAATAATGCAGCGTTTACAGAATACAAAATTCAAAGAAATAAGGTGAAAAGCCTGATTTTCAGGAGGCGACGGGATTTTGAGAGTACTTTTCTCCACCGAGCCGTTAAAAATCCGAAATTGCTCTACAGCTATTTGCGGAAAAGCACACGTAACAGGAATCCCATTCCTGTTATGAGGGGTGATGACGGCTTGGAGATATCGGACAGTACAAATAAGGCTGAGCACTTTTCTCAATTTTTCCGATCCGTTTTCACAAGAGAAGCGGACTTTACCCCATCTAATTCTGAGAACATGAGAGATCCCACTATCGAAAATATTCTGTTTCGAGAAGAAGCGATTTTGGAAGAGCTGAAAAGCTTGAAGGAATGTAAATCTCCCGGTCCGGACGAGATTCCAGCAAAGCTGCACTTTGAGCTTGCCCAACAGCTGGCCAAACCACTATCCTTTCTGTGCCAGAAATCGTTTGATGCTGGAATTCTTCCCACAGACTGGAAGACGGCCCACATTACACCCCTTTACAAAAGCTGCAGTCGTGCTCAGGCGACAAACTACAGACCCGTCAGTCTGACATCAATCTGCTGCAAAGTGATGGAGAAAACCATCAAAAAGGAGTTGATGGCTTACTTGGAAACCCACAACCTCTTGTCCAATGCACAATATGGTTTCCGTAGGGGAAGATCATGTGTTACGAACTTGCTATACACAATGCAAAGTTGGACACGAGCACTGGACGCAAAACACACCGTGCATGTTGCCTATATTGATTTCCGGAAGGCGTTTGACAGTGTTCCGCACCAGCGTCTCCTACACAAGTTGAGAATTATGGGCATCGGTTGCAAACTTCTCAAATGGATCGAAAATTTCCTTGTCGGCCGCTCCCAAATTGTCTGCGTAGAAGAACAGCGATCAAGGTGCACATTCATAGAGAGTGGGGTCCCACAAGGCTCGGTGCTCGGACCAACTCTCTTTCTCTTGTTCATCAATGATTGCGTAGGTGGGTTGGACTGTGATTGTGCCATGTTTGCGGATGACATAAAAATCTGGAAAGTCATCCAGAATGCTGCCGATGAGACCAACTTCCAAGAAAATCTTTGTCGGTTGGACGAGTGGTCCCGCAGATGGCTCTTGTCCTTCAATTTGAACAAATGCACCATTATGCGCCTCGGAAATCAGAGCCCTAGTACGCGGCAATACCATCTGAACGGAATGCCAATCCGAGAAGCAGAAACTCAGAAAGATCTCGGAGTTTGGGTTGCAGACAGCCTAAAGCCTTCTACACAATGCTGTAAGGCGGCCAAGGCCGCAACCTCAATGCTATATGCCATCAAGCGGGCATTCGTAGTTTTCGATGAAGACTGCTTCACCAAAGTCTTCGGCACGTTTATAAGGCCCCATCTCGAATATGCAATTCAGGCCTGGAGACCGTGGACGCACCAGGATTACGATCTGCTCGAAAGGGTGCAGAGGCGAGCCACAAAATTAGTAAGAGGTCAAAGTGCACTGCCATACGAGATCCGCTTAACTAACCTTAATATCTATCCTCTGAGTTACAGGCAGTTGCGCGGAGACATGATACAAACTTTCCGTACCGTGCACGGCTTGGATTGTGCCCTTCGGTGCGATGACTTCTTCCAACTCGCCACCACAAGTCACCTCCGGGGACATCCCTTCAAGCTACGTGTGCCACAGGGTAGATTGAATGTGAGAAAATATTTCTTCTACAACCGTGTCGTGGAACCGTGGGATAACCTGCCCGAGACGGTAGTTATGTCTCAATCTGTGGAGACATTTAAATGTCGCCTTGACAGATATATGCTGCAGCAACAAGCGGACTATGTGACTTTTTCACCATGTGACTAGTGACATATGTGAATCAATGCCTACATTCACTTAATGCTGCAATTTCTTCACATTTTTGCTTGTTTATCGATTTTTTATGTACAAATAGGGAGTCGAAAGGCGTAAGCCTATTTCCCTCAAATACACTGACTGACTGAATGACCTCAGGATCCCTACTCACTAGCCCTCAGTAGGCTCATTCACCATGATTCATAGTGTAGTCCTGGTAATGTTGAGATGCACAATGGCACAGATGGTCATGCCTCCTACAGCCTGCGGCGACGGCACTGACTGCGGCAGAGGCCCTTTCAGGCCCAACGCAGCCCTGCCTCCACTGCATCACAGTAAGCACCACATTGGCAGCATTGACGTCAGGTTAGGCCCTCTTCCCAAAGTCATGCTGTTGCAGTGGCAGCACGAGGTGTGAATGCCCTCGGTCGCAGAGCGTCAACTGTCCGTCTG